CCAATGAGAAGGCGAGGAGGCAGAATAAAGGCATAAGTGATACATCTATATTTAATGCATTTACAAGTCATTACTGGAGTATTTCAATTTGCACATAAAACCCCATTCTATTGGTTGATAGGTGAGAAGAGAGCACACAACTGCAAAGCTACAACCAGGGTTCAGGGCGGAAAAACGTAATGAGCATGCGTGGACTTTTTAGCCCAGATCCCTGGCCGGGTTTGAAAAAAATGGCGGGATTTCAAATATTTTATTGCCTAAAAATAAAATGTTTCCACTCATAACCTGGAAAGAACAGGCAATTTGTCTTCAAAAGTTGCAAGCTGTGGTTATAACCTTGTCGTTACTTAATTTTCTCGAAGAATACCTCATAGTAAAACGGACTTTAAAGACATTAATTTCCTTGCGTTGTACTGGAAATGTGCATGCGTGGTCCGATTTTTTTCAAGATGCATTCACGAAATGTGTTCATATAAGGAAGTTCCTGGAACTCCACTGTGGACACAAAAACAACATATCTTTGGACAGTGATTTGCCCAAAAAAATTAACGCTTGCCCACAATGTGTTTGAAGTCACTGAACTTTGTCTCACTTGAGCTGACATTTTAAACCCCGCTCGATCGGACACTCGTGGTTTCGCAGATCACTAAAATATAAACAAAATCCTCAATGTAGAAGTTATTGCGTTGATATGTGGGCAGAAAAAAGGTCAATCTTTATCCAGTAAAATCTTCCCAAAAATCGGTTTCAAAGCAACTATATTTTTTTAAACTTGCTCGTTTCGCGCAGATATATAAATTTTGCTTTGTGTTGTCAAGTTGAACACGCATAACATCTGTCAAAAACCAACGCGTGAGTAGGATTTCCTTCAAACAAAGTTAAAGTTACATTATTTCAAAAACTTCTTGCTGACAATGAAGTAATGAATTTTCTGTGCGAAAACAACCTACCTAAAGATCTTAAAAGCAAAAGATCAGTTGCAACTTGGCAGCCAAGCCATCACCATTTAGCTATTTTCAATAAGGTTAACCGGTCCATGCGAGGGTCTTCGTTTAAGCAAATTAAACTCAGCCGATCATTAGAAAATACAGAAAATTGCACATAAGGGTTTGTTTTGCTCACCTCAGTCAAATCAAGCTGCAGCAATTGTTTACGAGAAAAGAGTCAATTGTTTTGAAGTCACTGCCGGGAGTTATCGTTCTCTACTTCACAGCGAGTGAAAAGGACAATTTGCGTACAGAAAGTTATTCTTCAGAAAGAACAGAAACTTTCACAGTTCACTGGAAAACAAAACTATGTAATGAAAAATGAAAAACTCTGACTATTATTACTTGAGAAACAGGAAAATGATCTTGAGTAAGCTTGCTGGCCTTCTATCTCCGAGAAAGTTTAATAAGAGCACAAGTTTGTTCACTCTGATGCGTTATAACAGCAATATGGTTCTTTGACTGAAGATAAAGATAAAGCTGGTTCTGCAAAGGTAATAAATCTGGGCATGTAAAAAAGTAACTGTAACTACTAACAACAGAATACAAGCGGGTTTTAATTCAACCCGGCGAAATCAACTCATAACACAGTAATCGGATGCACAATCAGAAAAATACTCGCCTCTTAAGAAATGTTCAAAAACCTTTATTCCACCTCAGACTGACGGAATGATCCGTTTTTCCTTTAACATTGGTTGTTCTGAATCCAAAGTAATTTTCAAGCGACGAAAAAAAAGCAAACATGTCAAATAAAAATTCTTTACAGGGAGCAAACGTTCGCACCTCGAGCATTTCGTTCAGAACTCCAGCAACAAACAAACCCAGTCAACACACAGAAAAGCCCGCCTTGAGCCTGCGATAAGGGATGCGCAGAAGGTTGCGCAGAACGTTTTTCCGCCCTGAACAACCAGGGTGGGGGCTTAGGTGGGGGCTGGCTGCGAGGTCTGGAACCGAGTTTACATGATCGCCCCAGTTTCTCCCGACGTTTCGCCCCAGGAAAGAAATTTGGCCGAGTGAGACTGAGTACCAATTTTCCTTCAAAACAAATATGGCGGAGAATGCAGACATGGAAAGACGATGACTTTTTGCTCGGTTTTAAGTTTTCCCGCGTCCAAACATCAAGAAAACGTTTTTATGATTTTTTGCTATGGACGTTTAAGACATCAGGAGGCGTGTTGTATGAACAGTTCATGGGTGACTTCACTTATCATGATTCGACATCTCGGCAAGTTCAGTACTTTAAGAGTTTATAAGTTGAGATTCTCTTTAATGATACACAGGACGTGAATTTTCGAGCGACCAGCCTGCTCCATCTCTTATCTGTTTCCACTCATAGTGGTGTTAAGACTCTCTTCTTTATCCTTAACATGTAGTATGAGTCTTGCAACAGTCGTATGTGAATGTTCAGTAAACCAATTTTCTACTTCGCTATTCGTAAGTTTGTTTGTACACCACAACAAATATTTTTGGACGTAACTGATAAAATAAAGCGCCAATTTAGTAAAAGCCAGGGGTAAATGTTCAAACCACTTTGCTTGACATATTCTGGGCTGTCAGTATAAGCTATTTTTAAAATCAGAAGGAATGGTTTATTATAATACCTTCCTAATATCGTTGGAGTGATAATCGATCACATATTATACAGTGAATTCGGTTTCAAGTATTTCCTTGAAATTGTTTGTACAAAAATTACCCTATAGTTCTGAAATAATACTTGAAATGGTTATCATTGGTTCAGTGTGTGGGGACAAGAGGCTAATCTAGTTGCTAATAAGAGTGAGTACATCAGAGAGGGGTATGCTTTGAGAGAACCCCTCAAAGGACTCAAGTACAAGAAATAGAAAGAACAAAGTATTGAGTGTGTTGTAATGTTTATAAGAGAATCAGAAGGAGCTTGAAAAATGTACAGCCGTCAATTGTTTGTGCAAGTTATGCAAGCCAAGAGAGGTGATCTCACATTTCAAGACCCTTTTACCACTGTAACAGCATCACGGTCAGTGAAGGTTCATGGTCTCTGCAAAATGTTTTTGTCTGCCTCAACACAAGTTTCTAACTGTTATTGTTGACTACAAGTAATATTATCTTAATATATCATTTTACATCTTTTTATTTCCTAGGCATTCTATGGTGCTTTTCATATCCACTAGCACAAGGCAATTTTAAGTTGACATGGTTTGATTTCATTAACTTCATTTTTATACAGACACAAACTAACTTGTAGTACAGTTGTTCAATTATGTGGGAGGTTCATGTCCAAAGGTGTAAAAAGTTACAACTGTTTGGCAAAAACTAAGTGGCCGAACGAAAGGCAGAAATAGAAATGTCACCATTTTCCTGATTTTACAAAATTCCTTTGAAGCATATTTAGCCAGATGTAGTCTTTGTCAAAACATGCAAACTTGAACATTTATTTTCTGAACTTAGCTTATCTTTTGAAACCAATCTTGCTCCAAGGTAGTGTCGTTTTTGGAATTTATAATTTTTCCTAAGGCAGCGTCTTGGGGAAAATTAATATCAGAGGAATAACTACTGTCATGAAAAGAGAATTCCAAACACACAAAATAATTGCACTTTCATTTGCCTAAGCCTCATTTGTTAGAAACTACGGTAAAGTTTAACTTAAATCACGCAAAGATAAGCAATATAACATGTGCAAAATCAAGCATGATCTCTTGGCAAAATTTATTTAGCTTGTAGTGCATATAAGAGAAATACGTGAACTAAGAGACTCGATAATCCAACGAAACTCTGCCAGGGTTAAAGGTCACAAATCAAGGACGAAGAATTAAGCATCATTTCTTCACCCGTCGTCTTAAAGGTGTAGTACAACCGTAAACAGCTCTGAAAACTCTCCTACTCGACTCACAGCCACCGCACTTTAATACCACGAAGAATAAATGTTGGGCCTTTCTCTTGAAAATTTAAAGTCTTCTACATACGTATTGGACGGTTGGCCCTTCTGTTATTCCTGTAGGTCTTCTAAACAGAAAGCACAGCTTGAGCGCCTGCATTTAAGAGAGGTGAAGCGATTCAAAAGGGTCGGGCATCGTAGAACAATGAATGTTAACGATCTATGTTCACTGGTCTAGATCTTAGCAAACCGCATGTAATGACAAACGCAAGACCCGCAGAAGAAAAAGAAACTTAAGGTCTCCATTACCGTGGAAAAAAAACTTGCTTACAGCAAAGAAAGTAACGACCAAATGGACTAATCCCTAGAGGTCAAACTTCTTATTCCCAGCCCGTTTCGCGCATGGTCGCTACAGTTCTCGAATGATTGATAGATCATTCAACTCATACTTCACTTCATTCTTGTGAAAAGTTATGATCGATATTTATCAGGCACGTCTTCGTGCTTAGAGCATTCTTTTCATTACACAACAGGAAAAACAATATAGAAGCTTATTACTTTTAATTAAAAAACAGCTGTGTAATTCCTCTCGTCAAGATCGAGAAGTCTGGTTGAGGCCGGGACACCTAAGTCTTCGCAAAGAAATCCGGTGTAAAAGATATCCAAGCCTAAAAGGCTGTTTATAGTAGGACCACAACAAGTCACCCAGATTTTGCCAAAAACACGCCCTAATTTTAACTAGACTTGACTAACTTATGTGGACTTAGAAAATATTTCGTTTTCGTTGTAATTAATTGGTGTTAACGAATATAAATAAGCAAATCGATATGTTGTATTAAACCGGCCATGTTTTATCAGTCCAGTCCACGTTTTACCAATCCAGTCAGGTCCATATTTTCTCATGTGCTCTTTTGGAAAGGCCTGACAAGGCCAAAAGGGGTCAAGGTCAAAATATTTGACGGCAAAACATGTCATGTTTGCGCCCAATTAGAACAGGTTTTGGTTTTTTGGTCTCCACGCTTAGATGCAACCGACGACATTTGGAGTGTTTTCGAAGCAGATTATATATATCGCAGAGCTGGCAATTCATTGTTAGGTCAAATCATGTTTTCCTGGTCAAATCGAACTGAAACTAAGAAACAAATAAACACCAGGTAACATTTGTGCCATCTGTGCTTTATTGAGGAATTTACACGTTCGTTTAAATAATTTGAGTCTATTTATTGACTCACAGTTCTTTTTCTTACCCGAAAGGAAAAAAACATTAATATAAAATATGTTTTCAGAGGTTTATCCGTGTATTCCCATCTATCACATACCATAGATCAGTGATTATTCATTCCAAATATTTCTGTTTCTGATTGGCTATAATCCCACAGATAATTAATCAAAACCAAACGCCAATTCTACAGCATATAAATTGCCAGAAAACCGGACTGTTAACCGAGAAGCCCTGGGGACGAGGTTAAATGGTTTTGGTAGCGAGTACAAAATGGCGGAACATTTTACGGACGACACCTGCTATTTGGTGAATATCTGCAGAACTGAACAGCCCTTGACCTCCTAAACTTGCCAATAAACAGGCAACTGAAGATGAAGAACAATTCTTGCAATTTTAGGTTTGTATTATTTTAAATACTGTAACCGTTTATTCTATTCTCAACTAGATTTTCTGGCCCCTGACGAAGACTAGTTTTGCCTATAGTCGAAATTTTGGGCAAATAAATTTGTAACCGTTAGCTGTCCGATCAGCCTTGCCTTCAATTTTACCAGTTTTATACTGCTGATCCTGATCTACGACAAATCCGGCTTTCCCTCGCTGCTGTTTGTCCAAGTGGTCCTTGCAAGAATTGTTCGCTAATTGAACATGAACTTAACATCGATGGAGGTAAGCCGTGTTTTAGTTTGTTTTTAAAACTAGGAATTATTTTGAATGAAAAATAAAGCAATTATAATATATAATTGTTAACAATACAGCCAATCAGGCCTGGTCGTCGAGGCTAAAGCTCCCTAATCCAAGACTGGAGAATAATCACTCTCTCTTGGTCAATCACAAATCTAATTCTGTTGCCGCTATGTCATAAAGGAGTTGTTTCAGACCTGCTTTCAGCCTGTCAAGAGCCGTTGGCTGTGTATACTCAGGTTATGGATAAATTTGGGAAATTTAGACAACACTCAAGAATTACGCCTTAAGCAACTTACGAACGCTTTTTTCGTGCGCCCCAAACCTCCTACAACTGAATTCATAACTCGGCTATATACACACCCTATGCATGAATGGCTATCTTTTGATCAGTTCTTTAATATGTCGACGGCTACGACTGACAATTTTGTCACATATCGCAGCTGATATCTACACTTTGTTAGCGTAAGAAATACTGAATTTCTCTTTACCACCCTACTCTTCTCAAAAAATTGCATGCTTATTTCTAAAGTGAGTAAGAAATAGCCTGTTGCTCAAGTAACGCAAACTGATCAAAAGGTTATGAGATATTCAGGGTAGCATTGAGTGTCGTAGAAAACAACGAAGACAGACGGGTTTCCTTGGTTATCAACAACAGACTCGTACAAAATCTCCGGTCTCGAAGGGTTCTTCGGTGGAGGAACGATCATACTAGAGTTGCCTTGACAATACTGCCCGACCAGGACCCGAGCAAGGTACATGAAGCGACCGCCGGTTCCAGCCCTTGCGTACGGAACTGAGTAGGATGCATCTCTGGCAAAATACACGCCGCGTCCCAAGGCAGTTCCTATGTAAAAAAGGCAAACAAACAAAGAAATAGTTAATTAAGTTATTGATTGCCGCTGACAATAATACTGTGCTGGTGTAGTCAGCCTTCATCTCTGTTTCTATAGTGGTTCAGGTTTAACTCTTTCTTCTCCAACAACTACGTTCCCCAGAAACACTGAATCAAAACTCTGACACTGAAACCAACGAATTTAAAGACCCAAACATAACTAGCCTAGCATCTGTTACAAATACATCCTTATTAATATATAGGGGCACTCAACGACCAAATGTTTTCAAATAAGTAAGATGTGTCTCAAATAAAAGCTGTTTGAGCTGCCTTAAAATCATGTATCTGTTACGTTCGGACGTCTTAGAGGAACTTTGGTTGTCTCGAAAGTCATTTTACAGGAAAAATCTTTCTCTTTTTGACGAAACAAAGCGGCTAATCAACAGTATTGATTCCGTGATAAGTTTGAATTCAATCAATACTCGTGATAGTCACGCAAATAATCTGGTAAATAATGCCTACATCATGAAACATACAAGAGCGCAATTATAAAAGTGATCATAAGTTCTTTGGAAAAGATAAAGGAGTCGCATCGAGCGAATTTTATGACGCTTGAGAGGATCTATCTATTACTTCAAGAGCGGATATTGGGATATGTAAATTTCACGAAAGTGATTTATAGACACGGAAAACCTTTTCATACCTTTTTGTAGCAACTTACGTGATCAATTACGTAACAAATATGAATAATTAAACTGCATTTTTACTTATTAACTTAGATTTATAATTATTATATGGCTACAATAGTACGCGCACCCTGATTGGTTGTTTTCTTGTAATGACCTTGTAATGTAACTTCAAAGTGGACATCCTTATGGACATTCCTGATATCGTCAATTGACAGTTGTCAAAAAGGATATCCGCTGACGAGCCTCAGCTGACTTCATCGCGGGCTCATGGCGGGTTTATAAGTATTATTAAAAACTGAATCATTGGATAATGCAATTCTAGCATTTTGATTGGCTTAGCCGTTATGGTATATGAGTTATTATACCATGCTCTCCATATATGGTCGGTGTACGCGTCAATTAAAAATTGGAAGCTGGCTGAGAATTTTTTCGCGAAGGATAGAACGGCACCCGAAGCAAATTGTTTTAATTCATTTCTTAGAATACTAGAAATGCAATTTCATCGAAAGAAAAAGACAAAAACAAACAAAAAAGCCACAAGAGCTTGTTTGAAAGTTTGTCGAAAAACACATGAAAACACATGGAACTAAAGTACCTTGAACAGCTACGAAAGAAGACAAGTGTTGTTTCTTCATGATCGCGAAGCCATTCGCCGATCGAGTCACTCGCCGATAGATAACTGCGGCTTGTTTATCCGACATCAAGAATATAAATCACAAGTAACCAGCTACAAATACAGGTTATGCAGCCATTCACGAGAGCAATCGAGGCGGCAGTATAACTTCTTTTCTCATTCAGCAAAACCAGCTTGTGTCTTCAAACAACTTCAGAACAAGCGACCGAGGTAATAGTTTTTCTCCGTCGTTCTTACTTTTATAACTGCACCGAAAATCCAAATTCACAGTAATTTCGACGGCTGTCACTTAAAAATTATTTTGCTCCACATTATCTGCCAGGATTTTTTAGCTGTTCTGCTGTGTAAAATCCTAGAATTCCGATGAGTTTTTAAAAAACTAATGTTCATCGCTACAATGTTTTGCTTTTTCATTCATGCAGTCCAGGCGAGTCCGTTCGCGCGTTGACAGTTTTGATAGACGTGTGACATGTGAATAGCGGAAGTCCCTTGTCTTTTCCGGTTTGTTCTAGTCGGGGAGATTCAACGAGATTTTGTGGGCGTTTTTAATAAAACAATTATTCCACTCGCGCTTGTTGGATATGACATGATTATAGCCAACTCGGCGCTACGCGCCTTGTTGGCTATCTATCATCTCATATCCAACGCGCCCTCTTGGAATAATTGTTAAGTATTTAACGACAAACTTCATCAAAGACCGCCATTTTTTACTTATACCCGTAATTAAAAAACGTAACTAACCGTCGACATCCCTTCACTAAACGTAACAAGCCGACATCCCTATTTTGGACGTCCCTTCGCCTATTCAGAACTTATCAAAATGGTCATCTAACGACTGATCACAAGATCAGCCCGTAGCCTTCTAAGGTAAATTCTAGTAAGTACAAGCATCGTGACCAAAGATAACAGTTTGACTAGTCATAAAAGAAGGTTAGAATTCCTAACTGTTCACTTATTATCTATATTTTATCTTATCTGAAGAACAAGAGTTGCTACATTTAATTTCTTGTTGTTAAATTATGCGTCAAACACAAATCGTAAATTTCGAATTGACGTTACCCTTCGCACTATTACGGGTGCTACTTAATTCTAAATATGGAACCGCTATTAAATGTAGAAAAATTTGGGGAAACAGAGGAGAGTTTGGCTCGCGAGAAAAAATCAACTTGTGTAATAAGCGTGTTTTGATTAGCCTCCAGCCTCCTTGAAACAAACCCTTTTATAACTTACCATGTGCTAACCCAGTAAAACTCCTGTTGAACCCCTGTGTGTTTATTGCACGTATATTTTTAGCGTCGGTTCCATGGAACAGCTCTCGTTCGTTGTTCCCTCCGTTATCTTTGTCCATTTTCTGCTTTCTCACCATGTATTGCTTGTAAAGGTGGGGATTCTGAAGACGCTCGATTTTCTGAATCTGCACCCCGCCTGCGGTTGATTGAAATTTTCTCGCGACATTTTGGTACTCAGAGGAGCCTGCGTTGAGAGTCACAGTGTGTACTGTCATATCAGAGCGTGGCATTGGAGACCACGTGCTTGGAAGAGAAATTCCTTGGAGGAATAAATAAGTCGCTTTTAGTTTTCCTTACTGTTGGAAACTGAAGTTAATTACTGATTTAGGATGTGTTCAATGTGGCCGTTGTTCGTAAGAGCAATGTAAAAATGGCTTTAATTGGAAAATTACAGTGCAGGAACCTGCAAACCTTGGTGTCCTAAACATGTGTATTTTATTCCCCAGGGGGACTGGAAAACCCTTTGATTGTAATCTTACGGAGTCAATTGACAATGATTAGGTCCACGTAAAGTTCGCCTGGAACCCCCCATTGTCTTCAGTTGGATTGGACGTCCGTGAAAATTAAGGTGGGTTTTTGTTGTTGTGGAGAGCATTCTCCCTTCAACTCACTGTATCTCAAGAGTAAAACCCTGGTGATAAGCCGTTCGTCACTCTCCAAGATTTGCTACGTGGTCTAATGCCACCTTGGAGCTGTTATATAAGTTCCTGGAAGGCGAAACGACTTTTTCGTCGGGTTTACGTGTAGAAATTTCGGTCCGTAAGGTAACCAAGTAAAAATGACTGGCAAAAATAACAAATTAAACATGCAATTTCGGCCCTTCTGCTCTCTTTATTAGCGTAAATAACTACCTTTTAGCAGCAACGGACAGAATCATTACAATCATCAGCTCGTGGTAACGCCAAACAAAATTGTCAGCTTAATTGGTATGATTACCCACTGAACGACCCGCCGCCATTTTAGGCCGGTTTGCCCCTGGTATTAGGATCTTCCTTGCGAAAACAGTCTACATACAGAATCTTCCTTTTTCTCAGCAACGAAGACACTAGTCCCTGGAACAAGTATAATGCTTAGTCCCCTTTGTATGTAAACCCAATACAGAAAACATATGGCGCTAGGATGATCCATCTTCTAGGATCTCCCTGATCCTGGTTGTAGGACCTTCCACCCTCCATGTAAGTAGCCCCTTGGAAGATTAGGCGCGATTTAGTAAATGGCCTGTTATAGGCATTCAGATGGTGGAAAGTGGCGCATATTTGTCTCGCCCACTTCTCTTTGCGCCGCCTCCATGCACTATCAGAACGCCTGAGACAGGCATTCGAGTATCTCGGCCACTATTGGTTCAGTTGTCTGCCTTTGGTGACTTCGGTATCAAATTAAAAGATCATATCAGTTCACTGTGTAAACAGTGTATCACATAGTCCGCTTACTGTGACAGTTATCTCAGATTACTTTTCGTAATTAAAAACCGTTGAGTATGCACTAACCTTCGTCAGCTCCCTTGACCTTTCTGAAAAGTGTAATTGCTTCACCGTTCCGCTGTCCGCAGCCAGTTTTAGCTGTTACATCAATGACAAATTTATCAGATGGCAAAGATACTTGCACTTGTGGTTGTTCCCTGACCAACGCCATTTCAAGCTTTCCGTTTGCCTTGGGGCTAAACACCTTCTTCGTCCCGTAGATTTCATAACTCCATTCTACGTTCTTTGAAACTATCATCGCCTGCTCCTCCTCCTGTATCTTCTTATTTCTCTGGTTAATCTCCTCCCAAATCTTCCCGACCATGCCAGGCACTTCAACTGGGCCACCCTTCACCACAATGCGATCAACATCAACCTCAATTTCGAGTCTGACGTCACGTTCTTTGGCCTTCTTTCTTAGAGTGTTAACCTGCTTTGGCGACAGTTTGCTGACGGTTTCATTTTCGACTTTTTGAGTAGTGCAAGATTCAGAGAAACGTTTCTTCAAAGCGTCTACCGCTTTACTGACGCTTCCTTTATCCTTCCCTACCACGAAGATTTTCACAGAATGGTCGCCTATAGAACTCAAAGTAGTTGCGGTATTTCTTCTTTGCCTAGCAATTCTGGGCTGCTCAGCAACTTCACCATCTGCAGTGTAGTCACTCTCCCTTTTATCCATATCCTGCATTGCCTGTCTCTGTTGCGCTAACAAAAATTCCTGAACCATATGAGCTTGAAAGACCACGACACGTACGTTGCGAAGGCTTTGACAACTTCTTAAGGAGCTGAGAGCTTGGAATGTTACCTGAGCCGAGTCCGCTGCCGTCAGACCAAATCCACCAGTGCCTACACATGGAATTGATATTGTTTGAAGGTTGTATTGATCTGCCAGACGAAGGCCAGCTTCCAAACACGTCTGAAGATGCTGTTTATCTTGGGAGCCTGCGAGAAAAAAAATTAAAATAGGTTTGACATTTAACAACGAACAAAAATTGACATCTGCTTTGAATTTATTTTACACTCAAGAGCATTAAGAATGGCATTACAATTGTATCTCAAGGGTTTCTATTAATCCTCTCTTCCCTCTGTCGGCTACCTTCCTTATGAGGCCCAATTTTCACATGCGCACTCGAGTGTTTCGATCGCCCTACTATCCTCGCCAACAGCCTTCTCCACAGGCAACTTCTTTTGTAACGGTTACACTGGAGAGAGGAATAATTACTCGTCACTTTATAATAAATTCCTTTATAATAAGGGAGCTGATTTTAGCATTTCTAAACAGTTTAAAGGTCAACAATACGTTACAGGGTCCATTTGAGACCATATTTCCTTCGTAATACGATCAAATAAAGAAAACCTAACAATACCTGGAATAATGTGGATTATATTGGGTACTGCTAAATTTCCGCTACTAGTCATCACCGCTGTCCCAGCAGTTTGAGTACCATATTGGCTGCATTCTTGTTGAATCTGAGGGCCACCGGCTGTTAAGATGGCTTTGCTTAGATCACCAGCGTTGCTCATGTTCATATCGGTGCTGATAATGTTCATTATTACGTCTGTGTTTTCTTTTGTTAAATCACCACTTACTACCTTAATATCCAAGCCTCTCTGCCTACTAGCACGTGGATAGGCTAGGCCCTGCCTGGCCATAGGTTTAATGACATGGCCCTGATTAGAATACAGCGGATGACGCTGCTGTTCTCGTTGGAATGACTGAAGCATAGGCGCTTGGAACACCACGATTCTAACTTTTTTGATGACGTTGAAACGAGCACTACAATTACTGAGAGCTTGAAATATTAGGCTGGCTGAATCAGCCGCTGACATGTGAAAAGATCCCGTTCCTACCGCTGGAAATGAGATGGACTGAAAACCACGAGCCTCTGCCACACCAAGACACTTTTCCACGCATTGTTGCAAGTGATTTTTGTCGGCAGTATCTGGTATCAAATGTATGATATGACGGGCCTTTAGATTTCCACCACTGGTAACCACCACTGACCCACCTGTTTGATGTCCCAGTTGATAGCACTCGTCCTGAACAACTTGACCAGCGGCCTGTTTCACCGCCTTGCTCAATGCCCCGGCGCTGTCCATATTCATATCTTTGCTGTTGAGGTTAACAATGACATCTGTTGCCTCCTGGCACAAATTTCCTTGCAAAACTTCCACACTAACACCGACGGCTGGCCTTGCTGGGTTCTGATGGACTGGACCACCCATAGTGTATCCAGGACCAACACTGTACTTGGATTGCAATGTAGCAACCTCTTGGGCAAAGGCAGTGGTTAGTGCCTGATTTTGCTGAAACACGGCAAATCGAATATCTCTCACCACAGATGACGGATTAGTTTGACAAAAGTTGATGGTTTCTTCCAACATGATCCTGGAAGCTGCGTCTGGAGGAAAATTGAGGTTTCCAGTGCCTATGACTGGAAATGCTATTGATGTCCCTCCGAGTTCATCGGCCTTCTGAAGACACTTTTGGACAATGCCTCGTAGGACCTTGAATAAAACATGATGAATATGACTTGCACGATTGATAATAATTGGTTTTGTATGGACAAACTAACAGAAAAAAACGGTACAACTACCCTTAAGGAGTTCATTGGTTAACATCATCTCAACCACCTATTCGCCACTTTAGAAACGAGAAGGGGACTGGAACAACGCAATTGTTACTAAGGACGCACCGTCAGCTATTGGACAATCTTTTCACTGTCTGTAGTAACAGCCCCAGAAGTCTTTGCGAAAGTTAACTCAGTGCAGTTTCCTTAGTGTTTCGTAAGTAGCAAGTAGTGAAAATCTAGTTCTAAGCTGGCGTGAAATTGTCAAATAAGACAGGGGCGGACCAAGGATTTTGTGATAGAGGGGGCCTAAAGATACAGTATACAATAGCAATATTGGCGCCATAGCGCCCAGAAGGACTGTGAACGGCGCAATTTTCGAGGGAGTTTCGGGCTCATGCTCCTCCGGGAAGATGTTTGAGATTGAAGTGATTGCTCAATAAGATTTTAAGAAGCTGAGATACAATCTAGTGCATTCTGGACGCTTAATTTTAGCAAATGCCTGGATTCCATATTGAACCTGTAATGCTGAAATAATTAATAAACCACAAAAGGGATGGGCCGGGGCCCCCTGGCACCACTCTTAAATCCGCCCTTATGTGATACGTGCCGAACAGAATTTTCCAGAAAAGGAAGAATTAGGAATGTGCCACTTAAGCAAGCCTCCCTTACTGACGATATAACTTTTTCTTCAACATTCCAGAAAGGGTGTTACCCGCGAAATTTGACAGCTCATAATTCGTGTTCGCTCTGTGCCTTTTTGGATAGGATGCCTGACAATGCTCATTAGAATATCAAAGTGTTCCAATTATCCCTTACCTGCTTCCCCGTTCCACCATGCCACTGGGAACAGTTTGTATGGATCACGTGAAGACAGGCCAAATTATATCCAGGAGTAACTGTTATTTCACCAGCGTTTGGAGTTACCAAGTTTTGCCTCATTGCCTGCCCACCTGCATTGGCGATCGCTTGGGCGCATGCACCTTGTGAACTGACCAAAATTGTGGCCTGTAATTAAAGTCGAAGAAAGACTTTATGAAGGTTTGAATAAGAAGCTCTGCGATATCATTGAATGTTGGGCATCTGTCTTTGCTCTAGTTTTGCACTACCATGCTTTGTGGTACAAGTAAGATAAAATTCAAGGGCCATTTGCTTAAGACATTCAAGATAATTCACTAATATAATTGTGACTTAAGCAGGCATGTTTCCTTGGAAGCACTGGATTGTCTTTATCTGTTGATCGGTGGAGAAAGTGATTACTTTTGGTTTGGCCATAGTTACTGTATTACTGAACCTTTCACTGATAGAAGTTTTAGCCTAGAGACAATACCATGAACATTACCGCAATATTTAGCATATATAGATGTGTTGCCTTCTGAATTGTACAATTGTAATTTCAAGCAGTTTAGTTCGAAATATGGTATAAAAATCAGAGGATTTTGCCCTAGAATGGGATATCGTTATTGGAAAATTGCTGGTCCATAATTTAGGAAATGAAACTTATATAGCTGCCTATGGCGTGGAAAAGGCTGAGGACTCCAGGATTCAGCGGCACACCCAACCCAAAAAAGTCGTTTTAATAGAGTCAACCCACTCCTTTTTCTGGTAGTATATGGTAACGTGCAAATTGTTGCTAAATGGTTTGCCTTAGTCCATGATGAGTCATAAATGGCTGTTCTGTGTTATACAAGCAGTGTAACTATAATGTATATAAGATGAGGGGGTATATAAGATAGCTAATTAAATTAAATGCAATAATTATATGAAAAAAGACAAATTTAAGAGTTTTCATAACAAACACACAAGTGACGACGGCACGCAGATAAGCCCTGAGGAAAAAGGCGACGTTTGATAATCAATCGCGGAATGACGTCGGAGAAACGAGCACAAAAATTACATAGTGTTGATGCGTCACTAACCATATCTTGGTAGTGCCTCCGATTGGATGAAAATTTGCTTCATCCAATCAAATTCTCTATCCAGATCTTGGCAGTGACAATTACACAGTTTAGAATTTCTGTGGTCGATCCTCAGACGTCATTTCGCTGGGAAACAATTGGTTGCGTTACGAAAGTCGGCAGCAGATAGATCTATCAAAAAGGTTCTGAAGGAAACAACCATCATGAACCGAAAAGAACGTGTTTCAATCAGCTGGTTTACCAGAAGTTTTGTTATTGCCTGTGATTTGCTAAAAAGGGCATCGTTGCATTCTGTAAGGAAGAACAATTTATGTTTACAACAGAACAGAGCTTTCAACGTGGCAACACTACGAGCCTCAGCGCTTCGGAAGTTAAAAAATTCGTACCGTCTGGTTGCTATGAAGTGACGTAATCATCCCGTTGAGTATCCATCACCGTAACACTTTTGCGGTCAACTACCGCAGCGCTCGTAAAGTACTTTAATTAAAACCGTGTTCAAAACCCTTTAGGAAGTCTGTTTATTTTTGAGTCGATTAATGCACTGCTGACTTTCACGAGGTCAACTTTTGCATAAATTATCAAACATTATGTTAAGCGGGAAATCTACCTATGGTTCGCGGGAGAAGCAACTTCTATAGCGGCGCAAGACAAATGTTTCGAGAGTCGAGGATGTGCTCACAAACTATTTACTATGCGACGAAAGGAGATATCACTGGCATGATACCTGCATGTAATGGTAATTTTTATCAATCCAGGTCGCGCCGTGTTCGCTCGAGAACGCTGTGACAACTTCGTTTGGCGCGCTTCTCAATACTTCCAAAACATGTTGTAATCGGTAAGTAGACTTAAGCACTTAGTATCGCCAAGCCATTCGAATCAGTGTATACCCAATTCTTTGTCTGAAGATTCGCGCAAACACATATACCAAGTAAATCTGGATGGAAGAGGAAATTGTCTCCCTAAACGCAGCCAGGTTATATTTTGAAGGATGGCGGCACAATTCAACGCGTCTTCCAGGTCAGCCCTAATTTATAGTTCGTAAGAGTATAAATTGCGATATCCCTATTTTCGCTTAAGCTTTCTTTGATAAAACTTCAGTAGAAACAAAACAACGCAGACATGACATTCTCCTGCATGAGACACAATCGGCTGAAGGAAATATCTGTTTACAAGTCGGGTAAATTATCCATTCTTGCGCACCGCAAAATCAGCTAAAATCAGTCGCTGGAAACCTGGCATATTATTAAGCCTGAGCGCTTCTAAGAATAACACGTTTAGAACTTCGACGAGTAGAAAAAAAAGGCAGTTGTTCTATATCCTTTCTGGTTCACCCAGGTAGAAGTCCTGGCATGATATCATTATGCCTGAGCGCTTCTAGGATATATAACACGTTTAGCATTTCGACCCGTAGCCGTAAAAAAAAAATTTAGGCAGTTGTTCTATATCCTTTCTGGTTCATCCAGGTAGAAGTCCTGGCATGATATCATTATGCCTGAGCGCTTCTAGGATATATAACACGTTTAGAATTTCGACCCGTAGCCGTAAAAAAAAATTTAGGCAGTTGTTCTATATCCTTTCTGGTTCATCCAGGTAGAAGTCCTGGCATATTGTTATGCCTGAGCGCTTCTAGGATATATAACACGTTTAGCATTTCAACCCGTAGCCGTAAAAAACAATTAGGCAGTTGTTCTATATCCTTTCTGGTTCATCCAGGTAGAAGTCCTGGCATGATATCATTATGCCTGAGCGCTTCTAGGATATATAACACGTTTAGCATTTCAACCCGTAGCCGTTAAAAAAAATTTAGGCAGTTGTTCTATATCCTTTCTAGTTCATCCAGGTAGAAGTCCTGGCATATTATTATGCCTGAGCGCTTCTAGGATATATAACACGTTTAGCATTTCAACCCGTAGCCGTAAAAAACAATTAGGTAGTTGTTCTATATCCTTTCTGGTTCACCCAGGTAGAAGTCCTGGCATGATATCATTATGCCTGAGCGCTTCTAGGATATATAACACGTTTAGCATTTCGACCCGTAGCCGTAAAAAAAAAAATTTAGGCAGTTGTTCTATATCCTTTCTGGTTCATCCAGGTAGAAGTCCTGGCATGATATCATTATGCCTGAGCGCTTCTAGGATATATAACACGTTTAGCATTTCGACCCGTAGCCGTAAAAAAAAATTTAGGCAGTTGTTCTATATCCTTTCTGGTTCATCCAGGTAGAAGTCCTGGCATATTATTATGCCTGAGCGCTTCTAGGATATAACACGTTTAGCATTTAAACCCGTAGCCGTAAAAAACAATTAGACAGTTGTTCTATATCCTTTCTGGTTCATCCAGGTAGAAGTCCTGGCATATTATTATGCCTGAGCGCTTCTAGGATATAACACGTTTAGCATTTAAACCCGTAGCCGTAAAAAACAATTAGGCAGTTGTTCTATATCCTTTCTGGTTCATCCAGGTAGAAGTCCTGGCATGATATCATTATGCCTGAGCGCTTCTAGGATATATAACACGTTTAGCATTTCGACCAGTAGCCGTTAAAAAAAATTTAGGCAGTTGTTCTATATCCTTTCTGGTTCATCCAGGTAGAAGTCCTGGCATATTATTATGCATGAGCGCTTCTAGGATATATAACACGTTTAGCATTTCAACCCGTAGCCGTAAAAAACAATTAGGTAGTTGTTCTATATCCTTTCTGGTTCACCCAGGTAGAAGTCCTGGCATGATATCATTATGCCTGAGCGCTTCTAGGATATATAACACGTTTAGCATTTCGACCCGTAGCCGTAAAAAAAATTTAGGCAGTTGTTCTATATCCTTTCTGGTTCGTCCAGGTAGAAGTCCTGGCATGATATCATTATGCCTGAGCGCTTCTAGGATATATAACACGTTTAATTTCGACCCGTAGCCGTTAAAAAAAAATTTAGGCAGTTGTTATATATCCTTTCTGGTTCATCCAGGTAGAAGTCCTGGCATATTGTTATGCCTGAGCGTAGGCACGCATTTTAAAAAAAATTTAGGCAGTTGTTCTATATCCTTTCTGGTTCATCCAGGTAGAAGTCCTGGCATGATATCATTATGCCTGAGCGCTTCTAGGATATATAACACGTTTAGCATTTCAACCCGTAGCCGTTATAAAAAAAAAAATTTAGGCAGTTGTTCTATATCCTTTCTGGTTCATCCAGGTAGAAGTCCTGGCATATGCCTGATCTAGGATATATACGTTTAGCATTTCGACCTGTAGCCGTAAAAAAAAATTTAGGCAGTTGTTCTATATCCTTTCTGGTTCACCCAGGTAGAAGTCCTGGCATGATATCATTATGCCTGAGCGCTTCTAGGATATATAACACGTTTAGCATTTCGACCCGTAGCCGTAAAAAACAATTTAGGCAGTTGTTCTATATCCTTTCTGGTTCATCCAGGTAGAAGTCCTGGCATGATATCATTATGCCTGAGCGCTTCTAGGATATATAACACGTTTAGCATTTCGACCCGTAGCCGTAAAAAAAAAATTTAGGCAGTTGTTCTATATCCTTTCTGGTTCATCCAGGTAGAAGTCCTGGCATATTATTATGCCTGAGCGCTTCTAGGATATATAACACGTTTAGCATTTCAACCCGTAGCCGTAAAAAAACAATTAGGTAGTTGTTCTATATCCTTTCTGGTTCACCCAGGTAGAAGTCCTGGCATGATATAATTATGCCTGAGCGCTTCTAGGATATATAACACGTTTAGCATTTCGACCCGTAGCCGTAAAAAAAATTTAGGCAGTTGTTCTATATCCTTTCTGGTTCATCCAGGTAGAAGTCCTGGCATGATATCATTATGCCTGAGCGCTTCTAGGATATATAACACGTTTAGCATTTCGACCCGTAGCCGTAAAAAAATTTAGGCAGTTGTTCTATATCCTTTCTGGTTCACCCAGGTAGAAGTCCTGGCATGATATCATTATGCCTGAGCGCTTCTAGGATATATAACACGTTTAGCATTTCGACCCGTAGCCGTAAAAAAAAAATTTAGGCAGTTGTTCTATATCCTTTCTGGTTCATCCAGGTAGAAGTCCTGGCATGATATCATTATGCCTGAGCGCTTCTAGGATATATAACACGTTTAGCATTTCGACCCGTAGCCGTTAAAAAAAATTTAGGCAGTTGTTCTATATCCTTTCTGGTTCATCCAGGTAGAAGTCCTGGCATATTATTATGCCTGAGCGCTTCTAGGATATATAACACGTTTAGCATTTCAACCCGTAGCCGTAAAAAACAATTAGGTAGTTGTTCTATATCCTTTCTGGTTCATCCAGGTAGAAGTCCTGGCATGATATCATTATGCCTGAGCGCTTCTAGGATATATAACACGTTTAGCATTTCGACCCGTAGCCGTAAAAAGAAAAAAAGATAGGTAGTTGTTCTATATCCTTTCTGGTTCATCCAGGTAGAAGTCCTGGCATATTATTATGCCTGAGCGTTTCTGGGATATATAGTGGCAGTTTGACCCGTAGAAAAAACAAACTCAGCCGTTCATTTTGTAGGAGATATTTAAGCGTTTTTGTCTGTGTTAGCAATGTGATCGACTTTATACGCAGACCTTAATAATATGCTTTTTTCTTTGACGGCACTGAATAATTTTAGCCGAAACTTGAGCCGTGCATTTGTTGAATGCCGCGCTTTAATTAAATTTCTCGCCCTAGAATGATGACATGATGGCGCGAAAATTGACGCCTCTATCGTATTAGATGGGAAATATGATCAGAGATAAATGGAATAGTGAATGTTACAAGCTTCTGAGTATCCAGCTGAGATAGGGGACTTTTAGTCCCCTATCTCAGCTTGATAAACAAAATTTTTTTGGTTGCTAATTAAGACGGTGCGGCTCGTTATGACGAAAAAGAGACTTCGTTTGCTTTTTACATCAAAGGACAATTCGTTCCTTTTTAACTCAAACAGCCCAGTGAAATAACCTATACTTTATACTAGCATATGGAACACCGAACATACCTGCTGCGCCTCGATGTTCCCTGGTTTCCACGAAATTTTGTGCCCACTTCCCATTACAAGGGTGGAAGAGTCAACGCTGCTAGCTGCAGCCGCCATATCCTCTTCCTCTATATCACTATCATCATCGTCATCGTCGTTTGATGAATCAGGTCTTTTGACAGGAGTCTGCACGTCAAATTGCTTCTGGACCTGGATAACACATGCGTGATTTTTCGCCTCATTTGCCACAAGCGAATCGCCGTTTCCGCTGACAAAAAGTTTCTTAAGTCCTGGCTGTTTCACGTTGAAAATCTCGCATTCCGTACTATCTGCAAGGGCTTGAAGCTTTCTTTTCGCTCGTTTTATCCCCTCTTTGTTTCCCCCAATGACAAATTCATCATCACCTCTTCCTGTTTGAATCTTGACTTCATAGTCCTTGAGTTGAACTTCAATTGAAGACAAGTCATCTTGACGAAGCTCAGAGAGATATTTTCGGACTAACTTAGAAGAACATTTCATTTGCTCTTCTCGGATACAGTTATCATCTAGGTACGTAGTTAGCGTTTTTATTGCTTCATGCACATCTTCTCTGAACCCGGATACGTAGGTGTCATTCCAGTTGTTCCGATAAATCCGGACAGTTGAGATAGTGTTGAGTTGCTCACATAGTTGGCGCCATTCTGTAGTTTTTAAAAGATGCTGACTGTTGGCATCCACTCGAACTTTTTCTTCTGATGTCATCTTACTAACAAGACTGGCAGCCTTGTCTGCATGCGCAGCTGACGTGCCTATGATCCGAGCCTCGCTATCGATCACGAAAACAGCCTCCACGTTGTTTTTTTCTAATTCACGTTTGACTTTCTCCAGCCCTTCATCTAAAGACAAAATTTCCACAAAGTTTTTTGACAGGCTTAATTTCTTTTCAACCATGCCCGAATATTGTTTGTGAAATTTCATGGTCGCTTCCAGGAACTGTGGTTGTGGGCCTTCAAAATAGATTTCCTCCGCTTCAGTGTCTATTTTTATCTCCAGTTCTTTGTTTTTTTCTTGAAGTTTTTCCACAAAGCGGATCTTTTTTAACAAAATTAAATGTTCTACAGGAACTACTTCCTTTTTCTTCAAATACATTTTTCTGGTTTCCTTCCGGTATATGTCCTCTAATTTTGCTTTTAATTTCTTTTGCAAATCTTCTGCATCCGAACTCAGGGAAACAATTCTTACCACGAAAGAATCATGCATAATTTTAACCAACGGAGGCTCAACACCGAAACAGGCGCGAATGTCTGCTAACTGAGCTTTCACGGCTTCCCAGAAATCCTTGTTCACTTGAACATCTTGCTTTGTAAATTTAGCAAGCCAAGTTTGTACCTCCTCAATACACTCAGACTGCCACAAATCACTTTTATCTTGTCCGCGGTAAAATAGAACGGCTGTTTTGTTGTTTAGCTTCCAATTAATTTCACACGTCTTCGTAGCCAACGTTATTTTAAGTTGGTCATGGAGTGACGTAGTTGTGACGTATTCCATCACATCCGGGTCCACAGCCATGTGAAGCTTCTGTGCTTTCGCTTCAGACCGCTTGTTCGCTGATGTGCTATGGCTGTCCTCTGCATCCTTTTGCTTGTCACCCAAAACGTCAAATGCAGCGTCATCGTCATTCTCCAGTAAATCGTTAAAGATTCTGACAGTGAGTTCAGCTTTATTTAAAACAAGTAGCCTTTCATTCTGTCTAGCTAAGACTCTTTCCATATCTGTTAATGAAAAGGTCAAAGATTAAACAATGACTCGCTCGAAAACTGGTTTGTAAAAAGCAAAGAAAGTCTTTTTGGGTACTTAGCTAAAAATTCCAGAAATGCGGCGCTCTACGGCCAGGTTTTTTTTGTGAGTGTATTTGCGCATATTAACTTTTGTCATAAGAATATCAAAACTGGTTCGGCATCCATATACCAGAAAGCAGAAGGACACAGTGTACGTAGTAGTTTTCTCCATTTTAAATAAAAAAGGACAACGAGCATTAATGGGGCGTTTGAATTCTGACCTGTTGAATTCTGAAACACTACCACAGCTCGATCACTTTCAGGCTTAAACCTCACTGTCTCCACAGGACCACCATTGTTCCTTGGACTCTCAAAGCACAGCTCAATGGCATCTTGGGTGGTGTTCTCTGAAATGCCGCTGACGAGAATGCTCCTGCACACAGGAACTTGTTGGATTGTGACCCGGGCGGAGTCCATTCCCCTCTTTTCACCCTTCTCCTTGATTTTACGAAAATCTAATGAGTAAATGGTAAGAAAAATCTGCCTTAATTCAATTCGAAATTGAGTCGCTCAGATGTAAAATTACTAGAATATAATATTATGACTGATTTTCCACGAAGTAATAGGCAAAAAAAGCTTGATGGAAAAGTATATCAAAAACGCCCGCTGCTTGTATACCTGCTTAACGATTGAGTAGTCTCAGGAGTAAAATAGACGATTTTGGAGGTTTCGGCTCCGGTGATTTACAAGCTTTTCTCGTGTTCTCCCATCATCCCAAGTGGGTTATCACGCCTGTAAACCCATAGAAAATGTGGTCTAATGATTTTATAAAATAACTTTAAAACATGTTTCTCTTTTCTATGAGTTTACCGGCACACCATAGGTTTTTAACCAATAAGAAGGCCAGTACTATCTGAGTTATTTTATAATAGTAAATATATCAAAGAGTTGGGTATTCAACACTCATCCAATTGTGCCCTCTGATGATGCACCACGTAAAATATTATTCTGATCATGAGTTTAGCGTCGTTGCTAAGTCACTCATACCGCCTAGAAAATATTCCGGGGTTATAAATATGAGTAAATGAATCACTCAGCTGCAGGAAAAATTTGTCTAAACTGCAGGAGGTTTGCAATACACCACTAAATCACTAGTAATTTTGGTTGTTTTTACGGGTGAAAATGGGCCTCGCAATTTTTAAGCAGCTACGCCCGAAGAACTTCAAGTTCAACTTTCTGCCTGGTCTTCTATACTGGACGATACAATCCCAGCGACGAAGTCAAAAGCACCATGCACTTTTCTTTTACTCACGAAAAGAAATATTGCAACAAGAGTTTCTGGGGGTTTTAATTGGTTCTTACCAAATTTGACAGTAAAAGGACAAAAACGTTGCAGGATCGTTAACTTTGTCGAAGACCCCTTTAGCTCTAGTAAGTTATTGATGTTCTATTTCTGTTTTTTTTTTATATATTTCGCCTCGATCCGTGGAAATCGGAGACCGTTGGATCTGTTTCTGTCACGAAAGTCTGGTTCTCATTATTCCGCACCGCCAACCTACCTGCTACCTGATAGCCCCCATTACAGCCTTTGATGCATATTCTGACACCTACGCCGCCGATTCCTATTTCCCTTTCGTAAACGGTCTTTGCCATTTTTAACGGTCAATGCCACCATTGGTAACCAAGCCTTTAGTCATGATAGTAGCAATATATTCCTTGGATTAAGCTACAATAAGACAAATAATACGTTTTTGAATAGTCCTAGAAAGAACGACATTGAAGTCAAAGTTAAATTTACCTTAAAAATTATGGTCATCTGTAACTGATGTAACAGTTACGAAAGACAGTTTGCTAGTGTATGTACTTAATTTTTTTTGAATTTTGGCGGGTCGGTGTGGTAGTGTAGTGGTAAAGGAGAGAGATTAGGATACGAAAGGTCCGGTTTCGAGGTCCAGGTTTGACCCTGGGTTGCGATATTCCTTCCTTTTTAATAGAAACGCTTTCAATAACAGGTCAAACATTTTTTTCCGTGTCTTAAAAATGGCAGCGACCATATACGAAAGGGACTACTGCGCCGCTGGTAGCAAGGGCCATCCCAGGTATTTGCCGCCGGCATGCCGGAAAAGTTGAACCCCAGTCAGCTTCGTAGGCATAACGGCGGAAACTGACAGTGTTGTCGACCGACTTCTTTCTCTATATCGGACAGTATCCAAAGCAATAACAGTGGCTATATCACAGGTAGGGAAGCGGCATAATGAGAACTCTGTGTGAAAGTTTCGTACACAGCAGAGAACATAGTTCTTGGCTGAGTGCGGGGCCGTGAATTTAAAGCCAACGAAATTACTGACTGACCAATCACAGAACGACCTGATCGTCGAACTACCCATTGCCAATCAAGCCTAGCAAAATAGGATAAGTCACGGTTGCCTGAATTTACTTAACTTGAGAAGCTTATTGCATAGCTGACCTTACCAATGAATTACTTCAGTTTGCACGTAACTGAAAACGGCTCATTTGTTATTAGTAGCAGGACTTACTTGTTATATCCTTAGTCATTGTAACCAGAGCTTTGCCTTTACTCATGTCTACTGTCTCCACCTCTTCACCACTCATCGCCTCAATAAAGTTCAAAACTCCGTCTCGTGTCGTCGACTCACTCAGCCCGCAAATAAGCAGTTTCTTTGGCTCAAACTTTGCGTCTTCTCCTGTATTGTCGTTTGTATGAGAATCTTGAACATCCATTCCACTAGAAAGGCTCTGGGTTCGTCTTAATCCTAACTGGCCACGTCCTCTATTAATGTTGGGTCCAGACCTCCCCCTATTCCCTTGTTCACGTCTAGTTGGATAAATTCCCTCTCTACCAGAAAGGTCAAGCTCGTCATAGTATCTTTCATCTGCCAGAGAGACTGATCGTTCACGTCCCCAGTATGGACCTTGGCCGCCGCCTCCTTGTCCGCGTCTAAACTGACCTCTTCCTCGTCCCCTTTGAGAGACATGCGGTTGGCCTTGGAAAAACGAATCGCTTTCCAAAACGTTTTCATCGCGTCCTCTGCGGCCACGACCCTTGGGTTTGGGTTGGGGTTTTGGTTGATTCCATCGTCCTCTCCAGTTATCACGTCCCCTCTGGTTCTGAAACGTGTAGTCATTCACTGGAAATCCATGGGGAAAATCGTCTTTGTATTCTTGGAAATCTTCGTGTGCCTGGAAGAACCCTCCTCTGGGTCCAAATCCTCCTCTTGGCCTTCCTCCGAACACTCGGCCTCCTTGTCTTATACCATGATCGTTCCCACGCGTTACGTTTGGTTCATAACTGTCGAAACTATTTCCCAGTGTCCTTTCTCCTTGTTCTTCCTGTGTTTTGTTTTGATTTTCATTGTTCTTCTTTCTTCTCCCTCCCCTTCTTCCTCTCCTTCTTTTTTTCTGATAGCCTTGTGATTCGCATTTTTCACCTCCCTTGTTTTCTGATTGTGGCCGTTCAGGCGAGGGACCCCAGGCAGTGGGCGGATTACTCGTCGGGGTTTTGAAAAGGTCGCGTGGATTTTCCATATCCTGAAATTCTTGTAATCTCTGACTTGCCAAGTTCAGGTCTCCGTTAACATCATCGCGGCAAAGAACTCTTTTAATGAGAACCCTCGGTACACAGGAGAAAACTTCCTCGAGCTTTTTTAGCTTTTCCTCCAGCTTCTCTGGATCCTCTTCTTCAATTTTCCTGGAGGAGGCTCTATCCATTGAAAAGTCCTCCTCCTCCTCCTCCTCCTCCTCCTCCTCCTCGTCTTCGTTTCCCCTCCCTTCGTCTGCGACTACAAAGTCCCTTATATCGAAATCCTCTTCTTCATTGCTTCCACTCTCTTCTTCCTCATCCTCTTCGTAGCTGTTTTCATCTTCTGTAATAGAAAAAGCATTGCTCATAATCTACAGTTTTTGGGCATTTGTTCTCTCATTCTCTTGACACCAAAACAACTCAAATCTCAATTCTTTATCTCAAATCTTTATTTTAACACGGTACAAATTCATCAGGTTTTTTGTTACACATAAAGTATAAACTACATAACAATATTTAATAATAATAAATACATATCTAAAGAGTCTCTTAAAAATACTACTCAAAATTACACTAAACTGTACCTGTTTTCCATGAATGCCGTGTATCTAACTTAATTAACTAAAATGAAAGTTTAACAATTGCTTAAAACGATTTAGAGATTTCTCTTGCCTAAGATTAATGAATAAGCGGACGCCTTACATGATTTCCCATACCGGTATATCGCCTCGCAACAAACAGTTACGGAATTAATTATAAAGAACGGAGATTTCCCCCCTCCTCCGAATTTCGTTAGCCTCTTGCTTATTTCTTAGTAAAATTACCAAAAGTGTTTGGCTGAGTGAAAATTTCACCGAGGCTTCATTTTTTTCGAAAAAAAGTGAGTATAGTAGCTAAATGAAAGAGTAATATGCTTTGTGCAAAAAGAAAAAACTTTTTTCTCAAACAGAATACTTTACATCCGCCAGAAAGCATCCTCTTTCAAGGTCCCCTTGAATCTTCAACATTAGTTATCTTTCATACCTAGATTTATAACTGATGAATATAAACACTTTACGTCCACAGTTAAAAAAACAATAGATGTAATGAGACCCCGATGTGCCAAATATTTGGATATAGGTGAGCCACTTAGGGTTTGAAACCCAGACCCTGTTTTGGACAACAACTTCAATTTTATTGCCCTGTTTAGGACAAAGGAAAAAATGAACACCGTCTTGTTTTAGAGCCATTTATTGGCAATCGTAATAGAGCAAATCCACGTTATAGTCATTGCTATTGTATCATCAAGCAAGTCAAAACAATCAGGATAGAATCACACGAAATTACGGTATATACCCTCTTTAGGACAGAGAGGATAAAACCCATACCCTGTCCAGCGGCACATCCCGGTACATCCCTGAGGTGGAGCGGGAAAAGGGAAGCCAGGGAAAAGCGTCCTGGGGACGAGGTTGATCCCCGTATAAATAGATAGAGAGCTTCCTCAATTATCAACAGAGAGCCTAAAGGCACATGTGTTTACAGCGATAACAAAGATTACACTGCCGTAATAAATGGTAGTACAATGGACGTAGAATTACAGTGAAAGTTCTCTTTTGACTACAGAGGTGTACAGTTGTAAAATTTGTACCATTAGACAAGGTTATATTTAACGCATCTTTTTCTTTCGAGCCACCATTTTTGGCGTTTTTTCTCCTTGCTTCATACTTATCAACTTAGAAAAAGCTGTGCTTGGATTCATAGAGTCAAGAAAAAGGTTAGTTTTCGTTTTTAGCTCATTGAAGAGGTCTCTCCTAGGATCCCTATAAGCTATGCAATTCATCAAAAAATGTTCCTCGTCTTCTATTCCAGTGTTACATAACGCACAGATTGTCTGATGGTTGATAGGGTTTAGCCTATCGCCCAGTTTTAATTGCAAGTTTATGGTTGCTTAATCTTAGGTTTGTGATTGCTACTCTATGATTGATGTTTCTTACGTTTGTGAGGTAATTTTCGTAGTCATGGGTAAGTTTAAACTTTTAAATTTTCTGAAAGTTCTTAGTTTTTTTTTTTGATTCGGGTCCGTTCGGTAATCATGGTGTATTTCGCTAATACATGTTTGTTGTTCTATGCATGTCTAAAAGTCTCTGTCGTACGTAGTTCATGGTTGCGGGAGTGTTCGTTTTCGCTGACCATATGTCGCCAAGACCTGAGAGATTTAATAGCCGTTTTAGTTTGCTTGGCCAAAGTCCCTTTTTGTCTTGGCCAATTAGATCTGCAAATGATATTCCAGAGAGTCTTGGCCAATTAGATCCGCAAATGCTATTCCAGAGAGTTTCTTTTGGTCCTCCAGCTCACAAAATTTCAACCAAAATTTAATGGCTTTGCGCTTTGTCTTCCTTCGGGTTGGGAATTGGCCTACCTCCGATCTGCACGCATTTGAGCTACAGAATTTGTTAACTCCCAATAGCCACCTGATGAACTTTGTTTGTACAAACTCGATTGGATTCCTTCCCGTATAGGCCATATAAGTACACCCACCCCCCTCCCCTCCCCCGGGGGATAGGTGTAAGTAGTAACTTCACTCAAAGATAATCACGTCAGACAAATATCGCCTTCATCCTAAGGAGGGAGGAGACGACCTTCGGTTATCTCCTGCAGTCCCGGGGGGGAAGGGGGACTCCCATATGAAAGGGGCAGGGATGCGCGTCAGACATTTTGAAATAAAGAATGGTTGTCAGAGAAAACCGGGCAAAATGTTAAAATGTCAACAGAAAAAGCTCATACTAACATCGTAGATAGATCAGGTGGAGTAATGGACAAATATACAAAACATAGGTTCTTTACTGCTCTTGTATTAGAGATATGAGCATAATCATATTTGACCCCTTCGGACGCCATTTTTATAAGCAAAGTTTGACCATTTTCTGAAGCTCACAAAATCCTCAAATTTTAAGCGATACAACACAACACAGGGCTACTTTCTAAAACCATACAGGCAAGACTTAAATTTTCTTATTTTACCTGACCTAAGCTCAGTGTCTGCAAACGAGCCAAAAATCGGTCATTTTTGAATTGATCTATAGTGCACAACTAAATCGAGAGTACAACTCTTACAACCAAATTGAAGTCTACCATGATCCATGTAATCAAAACACTAAAAGTCATTTTGGGTCATTGAAACTGTCCTCAGACACATAGCATGACCCTTTTCCGACGCTGCACGTAGAGAGATAATATCCGGAATAGAAAGTGAAAGTGCACTGATACGGTTACAGGGGCTTTCCCCAAAACATCCTGGAAACAACGAACGTGATTGTCAACGGTAACAAAAAATAAATAAATAAACATGTCGCTTTCCTTCTCCTTCCACTTTTGGGCTGGCAAATGCATTTATAAACATCTGATCTAGTCTACGGATTCGAGTCAGAATTACAGAAGTACTTTAGAACGTAAAATGTTGAAAGTAACACATGATTGAACACAAAGGCATCAAACCTAAATACTGTAACTCAATGTGAATATAACAAAGCGATTATGTTTAAAAGACAACGGTTAGGAGTGATAATGACACGTAAACGTCAGGCATCGCCGGGTTCTGTTAATACCCCTTGGCTTGCATGGGCTATGAATTATATAAATTCAGTGTCGTCTTTTAAGTAACTTGCGATTTGTTAAATGCAAGCAAAACAGATCTCTCTTAAATAAAATGGATACTGTTGACGGATAAACATGAGGAAGGATATATCTCTTAAAAGGCAAAAAACTCAAATTATAGTTTATACTTACCAAAACTATCCATTACACCGGCTTGTGAGTAAAGGTCGTTCTATGATAAAGTCAAAACAAAACAAGGAAAGAAAGTGAGTTATATACGAAGGTATAAATGATGTTATATGTTGTTAATTTTGAGATGGACTGTACTTGCGTACATCCATAAAACAGTCAATAACAACCTTCAAGCAGGCGTGTGTACGTGTGCTATGTGCAAGTGGTTTTCATTTGAACGACAACATCCTTGGAGACTACGTTCCTTGTTACGGAAGTTGGCACTGAAGTAAGCGGCGATCGGAAAGAATACATGATCACGATGCGATTAAGGCCATAAAGTGGAACTATTCCTTGCTGTAAGGCGAAGTCCTGCAGGATCAGTCGAACAAAACTTACCTAAGTTGATATCCAGTAATAGCACGATTTCAAAGCATAAGAAAAGTAGTGCTTTACACAACAGTTTCGCTTTGAATGAAATTTTCAGCAGGTTTTCACGAAACAATTCTGCTGCTTCCTGGTTTCCCGGAAAAAGGCGCATCCAGAGCCAGGTAGTTGAACGCTGTCCTAATTACCGCGGGCTCTGCAACTTTGAAAGCTTTTCATGTATGAGGTGGGCACAGAAGTCCCCAGCGATGTGCAAAAGATAATTTAATCCGGGTTTCCATGCGGCGGTCTGCTGTTGTCATGCAAGCCTTGAAATCTTTCCCACAATACTGTAACTCATTTTGGGAGACAAAAGCAGCTGCTGGGTTCGCCTCCTATCAGTACCCGAGCTGGGATTATAATTCCTAACCATGTTTTTCATTTGAATTTTTTGTTCCATTATCCCTGCAAAACCCATGAGGGGAGAGGATAATTATGTGTTTAAATTTAAATTTTTACTTCAACATAACATTTCGCGTTGCTCACTGATGATTTAGTGATAGATAGTCAGGTTTTCATTAGTAATCCACCTTCCAATTCATCTGGGCCTAATTAATTCCTAATCTTCTGATTTAAAATATTCACTTACTATCTATATTAGGAAGAAAGCGTAAAATGCTTTCACAGCCACGCAGCTTCCACAAAATGTGAGGTAACATTATCAAAATCACACCAGCAGAACATTTCTGTATGTCATTTCTTGGTTTTGCTCTAGTCTTTGTTGATTTCCTGCACGGCTGAGACCAAAGGCCCCGGAAACGTATGGCATACCCTCGGTTTCTCAGAAAGCCGGAAGTACGTCAGGCTGATTTTCCCCTCAAGCTTTCAGCAGTAACAAGCCAAGCTGGTCTTCTTTCGTGTTCTGCTTTCCGTTCATAGGAACTCATGGAAGACGGCCAAGATGAGAATTTTTGCTGTCTTGAAACCTGGTAACACAAGCCAAAGGTAATTTTCTTCCAATGACTTCCCAAATGGATTTCAAGTTCTTCTGTGGTTAAAGCTAATTCTATTTATAGTAACAACGTCTAGGATTCATCTAAGCAACTTGAAAATGCTGAAAAATGCCATCACACAACTCATCTCAGATTCCCCAAACCAGAACTCCTGAGGAACCTGCAAAATTAAAAAAATACGAAATTTAAAACTGAAAACATACGTTAGAAATCGGGATTTTATTCAATTGATTCAGCATCATGCT